ATACACAACTCTCCTTGGCCTATTGGTTGAGAGCTTAGGCTTCCAACTAAGAAGTCCAGAGTTCGAGTTTATGTGTATGCGTTGTGTGTGTCAGTTTGCCTTAAATGGCCTAAATGTCCCAAAAAAAAAAAAAAAACTATTTTAATTATGTAATTACTATTATAAATATTAATAATTTAACTAATTATATAATTAGTACGACTATTTAGAATAGTTATCTAATTCTAATTTATAATATTTACTACCTTATTAGTTATTTAATTATTATTTATATTATTAATTATCATTTAATTATTAGGAATTTAGGATTTTAATTTATATTAATAATGTACAATTTATTTTCCTTTTCTCCGTTTCCACGTTGCTATTCGACTTCCCGCTCCGCGTGCGGTAGGGTTTTGAACGAATGGGCGGAATGTCTGAAGGGCTTCTTCGCCTACTTCGACAACGTTCCTTCCTGTTGAATCGGAAGTCGCGACAGTTCGCCGATAGGAAGTAGCGACGGGAGCTTGCTCGCTGCGAAAGTAACTATCTTTCTCCCTTTCGCGCGCTTCTTCTGTCAAAGCCCTTAAATCCTGCAGGATTTAGTTAATCCGGGATTTAAACGGAGGATTTATTCCGCCTTGAGATTAACCGGCGGCTCAAATCGCGCTTGGCAGGATTTAGCATAAATCCTGCTCAAATCCTGCAGAAATTATGTTGCCAAACAGCCCCTTGGGTTTCTATTTAGCGACGAGGACTCCGCCGATTGGTTTCTATTTGGACAACTCACACGTTTAGCCGCCACGATCACGTCTCTCCCCCATCGTCCGAAAGATCAATATGACTTTGCTCTTTCCAAATTGTTCGGGCAATCCCAGCTTGCCGTCCTCGGTCTCTCCCTCTCAGGTTCTCTCTAAAACCGTTCCCACTCATTTCATAGCTTGCCACCCTGGGTTTCTCTCTTTCAGGATATTTAATACATTCTTCCTCATTTTTTTTCAATAATTATTATGATCTTTTCTACAATGTGCTTACCCCTCATGTTTATGCTAAAATATTGCCTGTTATTGATGCTGTAAGAGGTTTTGGTTGTGCATGTTCCGAGGGCTTGCCAAAATGAAGTACCAGACTCAGAGTTTAGAGCTGTAGCGCCCCTCAACCCTGCATCTTAACCCTCCAAAGGGGCAAATTTTAGATTTTAATGTCATACACATGGCAAATTATTGCATCCGGTCACCGAACGCGGAGATAGGTCCGGATATTAATAAAATATTATTTTAAATAAAGTGTGTCAATCGCAGGAAAAGTGCAAGTAAAACACAGTCAAATCGTAGTCAAAGCGTAGTCAAAAGTGCAGTCAAAGTGCAGGTAAAACGCACCTAAAGCGCAGTCAAAAGCGCAGGAGCATGTTTTTATTAGATGTCCGAACCTATTCTGCACGTCCGGTGACTGGATGCAATAATTTGCCCATACACATAGACCTTCAAAACATGATTCAGAACAGAATTTAGACATTCATATGCATACAAAACATTCTTAGACACGTGTTGAATGAAAAATGCAAAAATTTCATCACACAAGACTTACCAGATTGGGTCAAAATGGGTGCAACACTGTTGCGCAGTAGGTATTACAAGTTGTGAGTTCCAAAGATATTCGACATTCATTTTAACCATGTATAATGTTTAGAATGCAAGGAATTCACTTGCTCTTATTCAATTAAATGTTGATTTGAATACTTATCTTACTCATCCCATTGCTATCTTGAAACCGATTCAAGTCAAGTTAGCTAGGTTCAAGTTAGGCTACATCGGTCCATTCAACTCAAGAGAAACTCTAGAGCAATTTGTGTATAGTCATGTATACATTTAATTCTATAATACTTATGCCCCAATCCAGATCTATAAATATAAATATGATTGGCTTTCTATTTCCTTCACTTGACTGTCACGAAACTTCCTAAGTAGTCTGAGCTCTTGATTGGCACACAACCGTTCCTCCTAGATTTTCCTTCATCCAATCAAAATAACTGTTCCATAAAAAAAGTTTCAATCTTGCTAAGTTTTTTAATATCATTGTTCTTTTACATTTGATAATTGTTAGTTTTAACTATCATTGAACTGTTAAATCATAACTTCATATGATCAGGAAATGATATTATTTGTTTTGTACTCTATTAAGTACCAATTCTCCTGTATTAGATTTAGCTTGAAGCATGTGTGGGTTGATTCTGAAGGTTATGAATGTGGGATTAGGGAGTCTAGTGTAACCAGTTAGTCATCAACCATGATTGTGACCAATTGTAAGCATTTGTTTTGTGTTATAGTTTGGAAAATTATAGTAGAATCCCACTAAGAGGCTTGGGGCAGAATGTAGACCCCTTTGGGTCAAATTATAATCCAATTTGTGCATGCTATCTTATTTTATTTGCTTTGGGGGCCATTCGGGATCATTTTCTATTTTAAAATTTATTTATATGTATATTTTATTTATATTTTAATATAAAAATAGATATTTGATATTCATTATTTTTTTTATTGAATCTCACATAAGGTGGTTTGACCAAGTATTTTCCTATTTTAGTTGGATTACATCAAGGATCAGCTTAAGCCCATATCTTTTTTGCTCTAGTCATGAATATTCTTATTAGACATTTGTAAGTGGATATGCTCTGATTTTTGCTTTTTGCTGATGATATTCTTCTTGTTGATAAAACTAGAGAGGGAATTGAAGGTAAACTTCAATTATGGAGGTCACTCTTAGAGCTTTAAGGTTTTTCTTTTGAGTAGATCTAAAATTGAATACATGGCGTGCACTTTTAGATCTCGTGGGGTGATTTTGACTTTGAACGGGCAAGTCATTAATAAGACTATAAGAGTGTATGTTTTAGATATATTGGGTTTATTGTTCAGAGTAATGGTGAAATTGATGGGGATATTATTAGTAGAATTCAGAGTATAATGCATCGGGATTGTTGTGTGATAGAAAAGTACCCCTCAATTTTAAGGGAAAATTTTATAAGATGGTGGTGAGACTTGCAATGGTTTATGGC